GCCCGCAGGTCAGACCTTCTCCGTCTTCGACCAGAAGACGTTCAAGACACACGACATAGTTGTGAGCAAAACTTTGTATTCAACAAGTGGTTTATTTTTATCCCTTGTCAGTCAAACTTTAAATACAGACAGGGATATCTTTATTGATTTAACAAACTTGCTACCCGCAGGTCAGACCTTTCTCCATTTTCGACCAGAAGGCGTTGAGACACACGACACAGTCGTGAGCAAAACTTCAGATTCAACAAGTGGCTTATTTTTATCCCTCATCATTACGTCAGTCAATCTTAAATACAGACAGGGATATCTTACTGACGAACAGACATTCTTTTCGTCCTTTCTGGACTCGCCATAATTAACTTCTCATAGACGATACAACCAACCGCAAATAACTCTTCGTCCTTTTGGCTAGACGTCCACAGCATTCCGTTAAAATTTTCAACAGTTAATTCAAGACCTGACTGAACTCTGAGACCCTACTTTGAACCTGAACATAAAAAAAAAAAAACACAAAATCACATACACTCTCAACGCCAAAAAAAATCCACAGTGAGTACTCCTTTCTATCTCTGCGCACATACACCTCGTGTTTAACGAAGTTCCTTTTTCCAGAACCTTATAAAACCCTTTTCCCGCCTTTGTTCATCTTGCATTTCTATTTAGGCGCTGAACTTTTCCTTGATCTCGCATTACCACTAGATCATCTACTTGTTTCCATCTAATAAAAGTTACACATGTTTTACAAACAGACGTCTTTGTCATTTTATTCGCTATCTCTTTGATGTTCATTAATTTATGCACTTGTTGATTAACCTTTTTTTCCTCTCACTGTTCATTCACGCATTTTTATTTTTTTTTTTATACATTGCTTGTGGACTTGGTAGTTAAGTGTGGTGTCTGGCACAAGGCCACTTTGTAATAAACCAGCACTGCACCCTACCGGTCTGCAACACCTTTTTCTTATGAAATTTAATCTCACTATTAACAGTCTTATTTTTTAATTTCTTTATATTTTTCATAAAGCATCGTAAACGTAAAAATGAAAGCTAAGTACAAAAAAATTTTTAAAAATAAAAATAAAAATTAGAGCACTGAAAGTTTTACTTAAAAGTAACAAGGTAAATAATTTGTTTACTTAAATAATTTCACTTCCTTCCATCCGTAGAAAGAATTCTCCTCCGTAAGTTATCTAAACGTCATGAATGTGCCTTTTGTCAATCGTCAAGCTGACGTGAAAAGGTTATGACCTGCTTTGTTTTATTTTCAAATTACATTTTTCGATTGCAGAAGCTAAGTTGCTTGGTTCAAAAATATTTTAAATAAACAGTATAATTTCGGTTTTATTAAAATCAGTTTTGAAAAATGATAATTGATTTTTAAAAAATATCAAAGTAAGATTTTAATCTTTTTTATCAAATCGAAAAAATGATTGAAAATGATTATCTGTCCTTTTTTTTTTGACCAAAATTTTTAACGAAAATTTCAGGCGTGCTAGGAACGATTAAAAATGTAAAAAAAATACCCCCAAAATACTTTGATCTTTCCTCTTTAATAATAATATGAACATTAGACGATAAAATTTTGTTTTCGTCAAGTTCGTGTGTCTTTTTTTTTTCATCATGCTATGCTCATTTGTTTACATTTTCGTGGGTGAGTTGTCCCCTTCCATTCTCATGATGTGTTTTAATCCTGTTTTCAAATTGATTTTATTAAAAACAACTGTGTTTTTCCCATTTTCGCCCCGTTAGAACCACCACAAGGTAATTTTATGTAGTCCTGTGAAGTTTTGTTGAAATCGGCTAAAAAAATGTAGGAAATTCGATCCAACATATAAACGTTACAGACAGACACACACACAACCTGCGTTTTATAATAAGTAAGATTTTTAATGCTATTATTATTATTATTGTTATTATTAGGTGTATCTTTATTATGTTTATCCTTCTATGTTTATATTGTAAATTTCTCTATATTCTTGGCCATGTCATTCTGTTTTAGCTTTATTACTATCCCATCTTTTATTTCTTCCTTCTTCCTTTTTCCTTCCTTCACTCTCTCTCTTCCTCCATCTCTCATTTTTTATTTTAAAAGAAATTATATTTGAAAATCTGTTATTTTTCTTTCTTCCTCTCTCCCTTTCTTCTCCTCCTGTTAATTTAGTATATCTGTCTGGATGAATTGTCTCCACTTATTAAGAAGAGATGAATATAAAAATAATAATAATATAGTCTGAAGAGATGAATATAAAAATATTCACAAAATAAATTATAACTGAAATGGATTTTTGAAGTTTTAGAACAAATATAATTTATTCGAAAAATTGTAACATAAATGTTATAAAATCACTACAAAAATAGCCATTTTGTTTCAACACTTCTGGTGTCTTATCAAGTGATGGTGTTGAATGTAGGTTCTACATTCAACAGCATTATATATATATATATATATATATATATATATATATATATATATATATATATATATAATTAGTTAGATGTAATAATGTTCAATAATAATAATTATTGCTCTAGTCTAATATTAATCACTTCATTAGAAATTCCGTTAAATTTGATATACATTAAATTATAATCTTACATATATTAATAGCTAGTATTAATAGCCAGCATCATTATATCATTTGTTATTTTCCAGTAATACAAGGTAATGTCCAAAAACGGTTATAGCTGAAAATCAGATATGTCTCATATTTTGTAATATGAACTGATTAAAAAAAGCCAAATCACCAAGTTAATATACATTATTAATCATGTGACCCCAAAAAACAAAACAAAACAAGTCTGATGATTTGGTTAGATTTTCTTACATGGATTAAGCTAAGGATGTTTCAGCACCCCCTCATAAATACACATTGTGAATTGGCCAGAGAATGCATATAAATAATCTGGCAGAATTCATGATGGCATTCTCATTCAGTTTGACTGCTACTCAGCAATCTGGCATAGAGTGGGGTGCTCTAATCCACACTGTTGGAAGTGGTTAAATAATTTGAAGTAAGAAACACCTTGTTCTTTGTTCAAACTCTCTCTCTTTTTTTTCATTTTGTGTCCAATATCAAATAAATCAAGGGTCCCAGCTACAAAACAGTAAGCAATGTCCGACAATAAATCACTGACCATTCCATATCCTGTGTTTATCTGGTTTCTATTAAGGTTGACAATAAGTGTCACAGTTTTTATCATTACCATCCAGGTGGTGAGGTAGTTATTTTTGAGGGAGTGCTTTATCTAAGTTCTTACTCACTGCTCATCATCAACCATTATGGTATACCAGCAATAAGACAATTTTGCAAAGATATCTGTCATTGGGACAAAGTGCAGAAAATGGTTTCATGCCTTTGGAAAAGGCATGAATGCAAAGTAAACATTAAGCTGCTTCAGCCAATATTTGAACTTGCCAATTCTGAAGACATTATGCTACTTCAAACCTCTCCTGGTCATAAACTATTTTCTGCATCACCCAATACAGAGCTTATTCTCAAACAAAAATGATGCTGAGACAAGATGAATGAATTACAAGCTTAGCTCCAATATGGTTAATTGCTCCTGGTGTTTGTTCCCTCAGCTGGTCTGCCTAAATAAATATGGTTCCCTTATCTTTTTCCTATCAGTCTTAATTTAGTCTTCCACTAACCAGCAGCCAAAAATAAGTCTCCAGCATTATCATTCTGTTTGATACCTTGTAACACAGCTATAATTAATGTGCGTAAGTGGGGCTTGACCATGAAGATGTCATAGTAAATAGGCTCTATAATCCCTCCCAATGACATAGGCAATTCAAGAGATTTAGATTCATTGGGTTTAATTTTGATTCTAGCAAAAAGTTGGTGTTCAAAGCAAGATAAGATGGATTAGTCAAAGTACAGAAACATCAAGAAAGACAAAGGTAAATACTTTTAACTGATATGTATGGATGTGTGAATAATTAGTTTGACAATGCAAGAGAAAGGTTTATTAAAATAATCAGAGATGTCTATGGTCAGTTTAGAAAGTTAGAGCCAAGCATACAATAGTTAGCAGACAGACGAAAGGACAATAGGATAGCACGTTTCCAAATAGCAACAGAACAGGCTTAAAAAGCAACATCACAAACTAAGGAGAAACAGAGTAGACAATTATTCAAGAGTCTGTTACATAGATTGTTAGGGATCAGTCAGAAGTTTTGGCAAGAATAAAAGGAACAATAAAATCTATAAAATAAAATTAATAAATACTCTAATACATTGTACCTATTCAATTATTTCTTGAATACATAATGCTTTTCTCAACATATGTTTCTCTTTGAAATATTTTTCACTTCCAGTACTTCACCTATTGTTAATCGACAGTACCAATGATAAACCACATAATTTGTTTGGAGCACATCAATAAGAATTATCAGTATGATGGATACTTCACATTGCATTGCTACTAATTTTACATTTTCTATGCAGTAAATTGTTAAATGTCATGAGATTTTTTTGTGATTAATAGTGGACTAGTTTACCATTGCCTTCTCCACAGTGATTTATTGAGGCACTACCTCTAGTTCAATGGCCAGTGATTCATCAAGAGTTCCTTCACCCTTTGATAGATCTTATTTTTCATCCAAGAGGGTTTCTAATAACCTGCCTCACTAGGCTTAGAAAATTTTATACTCAAAAGGACAGATTGAAGGCATATAGGGCAGAGGAAAATGACACATAACCTACTTCATGAGCTTGAATAAATGGATGCCAGAACAAGGTTTATAAGAGATAACAAAAAGACAAAATTTATTAAAAACTGCAGAGGACAGGAAGTTGTAGAGGGCCATGATCACCTACATCTTGAATGGACATAGCACATAGAAGATGCAGTAAATTCTCCAGAAGGAATATGAAAAATTTCAGCTCAACTAAAGGTATATTATAGCTAAGAATGATACAAATAATAATTTTGTTGAATTATTTGGTGTCAGACACTAATAAGGATAACATGTGGGGAAACTTTTCAAGTTCTTACCTGATTTAGCATATTCTCGTAAGTGATAGAGTAGCCGTATAAAGAGTTTGGGCATGATTAACTCTGGGAGGAATATCAATTCTTGAGGTGGTACCTGCTGGTAATGACTGCGTCCTGGACCATGTCGGGCACAGAACCTGAAATAAAATATGAATTCATAGAAGAAAAAAATGTTTCTTTTTCATAATACAGTGAAAAAAAAATTATTGCACAAAGTTGAATCAAGTGAGCCACTCTCATACTAACAAAAAGAAAATATAGCAACATTAATTAAAAGATAGAATAGAACAATTAAGAACAGACTGATTTGTTTGTTTTTTTTTTTTGTTGTTTTTTTTACTGCTTATCAACCCTTTGTAGGTTATTAAAAAATGAAACATTTTTGATAGCATTTTTTTTTTTTGCATGTAAATATTGCCTTAATTTTTGGGAAATAAAAATTTTTTTCCAGATACATATACTACTATTCAACCCATAGCTGGAGGGAGAAAAGATGGATTCGTACCTTTCCTAAAAGTATTTGCAAATAAATCCAAAGAAGAATCAGCAACATTATTGGTCTTGACCTGGCATTTCAGCTTCAGTCACTTTCCCACCACTATAATGTAGCATCCCTGTGCTTATTCATAGTGATTGTTCAGATGAACTCTTTGCTATGGAACCTAGACTTTATGAATTTAAGCACAGTACTAGATCAGCAACATGGTCTCATCAATTTATAATTAAACAGGCTAGATGTAACCATATGTTCTATGCTAACCTGTTACTTTTCTCACACTTCTCACTTGTGTAACTCTTCTGGTTCCATGCTTTCTAGCCAAATTTGATCTTAAAAAATTTAAATGCAATGTCAATCATTATCTACTGTCTTCTTGATTTCTACTGTACTCACTATGATTCTCTTCTTTCTTATTCTTTCACACTCAGTAACTCTGTGTCTTAATAATCTTGCCTGGGGGTGAAATGATTTAGAAAAAAAAAAAAAAAAAAAAAAAAATGTGTGTAAAACTCTAGAATTCAAACTCAATTCTCCATTACACTGCTTGCACATGAACCTTTTTATATTTTTTTTTAATCATTGCACCACCACCCCCAAGCAAGGTAATAAAGCCACTAGGATGCAAGAGGTTACTGAGAGTAAAGAAACAGAAAGGACAATAAAAGAACAGTTTTTAAAGAAACAGAAATTAACGATTGACATTGTATTTAAATTTGTGATTATTGTAGTTGACAGGAAAGTAGAAAGCTGGAAGAGAGTTCCACAAATAAAAAATACGCAAAAAGAAAAAATTGAAAAACAAGGTAAACTCAATAAACTAGTCAAATCAAACTTTCAAATGAAAATATTTATAGCTTCAAGTTATTCACAAACTAAGAATTAGCCCAGATAAGTTATATTGAGAAAAACAAGAAATTATTTCCAAAGAGGATAATTTTTTAAAGATTTTACAGAAAGTAACATTATTATTTCACATTTGACTGTACCATATAACAGAAAGCACATCACTTGAGGACTAACAACAGCGGCAACAACTAAAACAGATAGCACATGTAACTTGAAGTGAAAATAATGACATAATTTAACATTCCATACCACTTCAAATAGAAGATTCGGAAGGAAAACCCCCATCAATACTGGAAAGAGTGATAAAAGCTACAAAGAAACCAGTTTTTCTAAAAAAAAGTGTTTTAAGAAAAAGATTTTATAAATTTCAACTGAAAATAATATTGGCTGCTCAGTCAATGAATAACAAATTTTTCCTTGTAGTGAAATGGCTAATTCGGACTTGAATTTTCATCCTTACTGGGTTTTTTTTTTTTTGTTTATCTTCAGATACATTTTTTCAGTTATGTTTCCAGCCCCAATTATTAATGTCTGAACAAAAAATATTACAAGGATTTTTTTTTCCCTGAAAGGAAATAAGAGAAAGAGAGCATCACCTCTCTTATCCCGATTACAGAAAAAGGTTCATACAAAAAGAAACAATTGAAACTACGATGTGAAATTTGAAAGGAACAAACATGTATTACTAGACATTAAAACAATATAAAAAAAATACAATTTTTATAGAAAAGGCTTGCACAAAAACTTCCTTTTGTGCACCTTTTTAGTCAAGGCAGATAACAGATTAAAATTTATAAAAGGCTATTAAAAAGATTTACAATAGAATTTTCAAATAATGGAAAAAAAAAAAAAAAAACATTGGAAGGTAATACAAAAACTTTAAATAAGATTGAAAATACTCTTTAAAAAAGGTGCACCCACTTAAAAATGAAACAAGAATATAGAAAGTGACTTTGGCAAATCCACTTAAATCACAGGGATTTTTTAACAATTTTTAATCATTAAAACAGTTCTATTCACAGGATTCTCTTGATTCACTTCTTCCCCGCCCCCCTTGCTCCTTCTGTGAGAAACAGCTCAGCTCATACACAGGTGACAGCTAAGAAAAGCTTTTCCATCTGGAACCTTATTTTTATGTCCTCAGGACAAAATTTTTATGTCTCCTTGTCATCAAAATTTTTGCTCCTTCCAGTTGAAAATTAATATTATCTTCTGGTCAAAAATTATATCACCTTCTGAAATTATCTGTTGACCCATCTTCTATATCATTGAAAAGGCTCCAAACTTTAAATTTATGGGGATTGAAGGCACCTTTTTGATTGGACAATAAATACAAACATCTGTCTATATTTCCGAGACGAGGTGTTATAACTATTTACTATTCAGACTCATCTTTATTGCTATATTCATGTTTCGGCTGTTGTATGCTTAAGCCAGGTCATAGTGTGCAACAGCCAAAACATCACTAATATGGCAATAAAGATGAGGAGAACAGTAAGAACAATGTAAATAGTGTATAATAAATACAAAGCGTAAATATATTTTTTAAATTTGAAAAATGAATTTTGAAACAGTCCGGCTTGACCAAATTATTTTTGACTGTTTTTTTTTTTTAGAGCCAATTCTAAATTTAGTAACTTTTACAGACAAATGTAACATTTTATTTTTTTATAAACCATCTGGCTTTCTTTTAAATACACTTCTAAAAGTAAGTGTAAAAACAAACAGTCTATTATATTTATTTATCAACATTTTTTTTATTAATTATTATTTTTAATTATTTGATATTACTAACAAAGATCTTTTTTTATAATATATATGTGCCTTGAAAAACTGTTTCACTGGACAATCCACAGACCCTAATATATTTTTTACTTTTAATAAAATTTTGTACAAATTTATACAGGTTGCGATGGATAAATTGTCATCTAAATTATGCAAAAATGAAAATAACACTGACATCTCATTTTAACAGATATATTTACCAAAATGACACAAAAATATCTTGAAATATCAAAAAGTAAATTTCTTTAATAAAATTGCCATTGGCTTCAACCACAGCCTCCAGAATTTCTTTCAACTCTTCTATGAAGACTAAAATATACAAAATGAATACAAGTCACCTGTGCTTTTCTATAAATGTTTTCATGAGCTTTTTGCTTCAGTCCTCAACTGCATAAATTTAAATGCAGTACTAGATTGGCAGCTAGGACTCATTATTTTATTGTTAAAATTGTTAAGTCTGAGTACTATGCTAATGGTTACTTCTCTTGCACTTCTCACTTGTAGAACTCTCTTCCAGCTCTTTGCATTCTTGTCAGCTATGATCTTCAAAAATTTAAATTCAGCACCAATTATCACCTTCTGTCTCCATGAATTCTGGTCCTCTAATGTCCCCCCTCTCCCTCTTAATTACTTCTCAGTTTCTTTCACTGTTTTTAATAAAGAAATATAGTCAAGGCAGAACCTAGTTTATCAATCTGCTTCATATTTATGATATTTAAAAGTACAAAGGATTCCTTCCTTTCATACATACCTATATAGTCAAAAGTATATCTTAATGACTGTACTTAGTAGTTACTAGTCAAACTGGTTTCTCTTTCGAGTGGCTTTGTATCAGGTTTTTCACACTTAACATTCTTCAAACTTGCAAATTTTTTAATCCAGGAAAACATTTTAAGTCTGCCCCTCCCAGTACTAAAATATCACACACAAATAAATACCATGATACAAAAAGCAAATTAAAAGTGACCAAGTAAACTGAAGTTTTCATTTATGATAGTTTTTTTCCAAAAGTAGTACATACTATTTATTTCCATGGAAACTTCAGATAAATTGATTGATTGATTTGCTATTTTACAGTTTTTCAATCCTTTGTAGCTTATTTAAAGCCAAAACATCATTTAGATTGTAGGAATGATTCATTTTTGCAAATGAATATTGCATTAACGTATTTTGAGAATAACAATGATGTTTTCAGATACAAGTCCTACTATTTAATCCATAACTGGGGGAAAGAGGATGGATAACAGATACAGGGAAGATTACTCACTGCCTAACTGTGCTCATATCAGTATTTATAGCTGCTGATGTCCCTTATCCTTTTCTAATAGTGAAAATCAACCCTGTGAAATGCTCAGTCCCATTTTGACTGACATTTTGCTGTAAGTGTCATTTTCAGCACAAATTTTAAAGGAAAATATGTGAATGAAAACATACAAAAGCAAAGACAGAGAGAAAGAGATTAAGGACCACCACTAGAATTTTGTCTGAGCCAGTGGCTTTTTTGGGGTCAAAGCTTTTAATAAGTTTGCAGCCTAGGACCCCTCAAGCTTTTATGAAGCAATGATTTTATTTTTTTTGATGTTATAACTTCTAAATAATTCCATAAACTGAAATGTTATCAGTATGACAAGCTCATATTTATTTGACTTTGCAGGAAGCAAAGCAAGGAAAAGAATGTTTTAGTTTTGTGTCATTGTTTGATTTTAGTTCAGAATGTTTAAATAAAGCAGTGATTTTAATTTTCTAGTTGTTAGAACTTCTAAATAGTTTCATAAACTGAAATGATATCAATATGACAAGTTTATATTTATTTTGATTGACTTATTGTTATAATGCTGGTTATAAAATATAGTAAAATAATGGTATTTTTTAAAGAATATTTTTTATTGGCAAACAAGGTAGCTATTCTGGTTTATTTAAAGAATTTTCAATAAATTTACTTCAAGCTAAGTAAATGTCACTAAAATATATCACAAGTAAAAAAAAAAAAAAAATATTTGACAGGTGCAGGTGAGTTAGAGCATGGCTCTGTTTAAAGTGGGGGGGGGGCATAATTTCATTAGCCTAGGGGTCCCGAAAAGTCATAATCCTGCCCTGAATGTATGTTAAGAATTTTTGCCACATTCTGGAGTTTTTTTTTTTGCATTAATAACAGTAATTTTCTTGGTCTCCAAAAAGTAAAATTATTTGAAGAATTTCCCCTAATTTATTTCTTTTTTATTTTCTTTTGAGCAATTTCTAATTTTTCCAGAAGTTGTTTGCAGCATACATCAAAAATCAAAAGTTTTCAAGGAGGAGAATTGTTTTGTCATCTTCCAGGTCTCCAAAATGTTATAAATTTGGCCTGGTCAGTAACAAAATTAGATACTGAAAGTTAGTTTATTAGGAAAGTTCTGAACAAGAATAGTTACACTTTGGGTACTGCCAAAGTCCAGTATTAGAAAAAAAAGAAATGTGACAATATTGTAAGCCTAGATTGATTGGTCACCAGAAATGTCATGTCTTGTTTGTGGATACAGTGGATTGGGGAGATAATATGAAATTTACCACAGTTATGCTGACTTGTAATTTTGTGCTAACACAATCACCAACAGCTTAAAAACAGTTTCATCTACCTAATTTCACTTGTAAGTCTTTGGTAGTGTCTTCAGGAACTTCCCAACAGTATCGCATGCTGGAAACATCTTCCAACTGCCAAAACAGTCATAATCAACCATGGTAAGATTTGAACCCATGGTAGGAAAGGTAACATTCTAAGCACTCAGCCACATTACCATTAATTAATATTAGAATCTAAATAAATACCAGGCACCACATTCTTTCAATTAACAAATTGGTATTATATAATCTTATCCAATATTTTCTCCCACGGTCAACAAGGAAATAAAACAGTACTCACCCACTTGGGTCAAGGACATTGGAATCGCCACAATCACAGGCACCTCCAGCTTTACTTCGGAACATGTTGTAATCATGACCTTCATGGTTACCTTCTTGAAAACACTTAGAACACAAAGACATGCAAGGTGTAATACCACATGTCCTGCATCTGTAAGCAACAAAGTTTGCTGTCCATACCAATCCACAGGTTGTTGCATTATCATATTGACGAACTGCATGGAGAGAAAAATAAAAGAATCTAAGATACATTTTCTGATAAGATATGATGGTATATCAAATCATGTGACCTAAAGCAAACAAATAACAATAGAATGAGATTAGTCATTGACAAACTGGTAAAAATTCAAATCAATTTATAATGTAAATAAAAAAGATAGAAAATTCTTTTACAGACACCTTGGCACACAACTGAGACACATGGAGGTGCTCAGCAATCCTATGACCACACCTGAACATGGGATTGATGATAAGGAGGAGAAAGAAGAAAATTATTACGAGTAAAAATTATATACAAAAATGAAAATATTCTTAATTGAAATGTTTAAAACATTTTAATCACTGATAGAATATCTTTCAGAAATTTCTATTATTGGAGAATGTACAGTCATTTAAGACATTTTTTTAGAGCTTATAATGAAGGCAATGTTGACAATATATATATATATATATATATACACATATATATATATACACACAAAATAAATGAAATATATAAATGAATAAAACAAGTATGTATTCTAAAGGTCGTCACCATAAATGATCTTAGGCCCTAAGTAAAAGAACTGAGAAGGGTCAGTTTCTGCCATCCCTAATTCCCTTTGGCTTATACATGGAGTCTACAAATGGAGTAATAGTACTGTTGTGGAGTAAATAAGACACCCCCAGTAACACAAATAAACTAGACAAGATGCCTTAAATAAAGAATTCAAAGTGAGTCAAGGGAAGTTTGTTGGAGTCAGTCAAGGAGAATTTCTAATGACATCATGGTGAGTAGCCTAAGCGAGACATTATAACCCCTAGGAGTGAGTTATGACAGTGGCGGTGAGAGATCAAAACTCATATGGAGAAGGAAAAAGTACTTTTTACTTCATTGCACATGAAAACAGTGAAACAAGAAATTCAAACCATGAAAGCTGACAGAAAAATCTACATCCACATCATAAAAGAGGCATTAGCAATAATATTTGCAGTGAAAAATTACACAATTTTATAAACAGAAGGAGTTTTCATTTACAGACAGATCACTATACTCTATTATCAATTTCTGGCTCAGAATAAGGACTTCCTATACATACAGTGAATAGATTCCAATGCTGGAGTAACATTATATTAAATTAGAATTTTTGGATGGAATACCAGCCACCCTCCAAAAAAATTAGGACTGCTGATGGTTTATAAAGATTGATACCAAAAAATACTGAACTGTTTGAGGACACTGTTATTGCAGCATTAAAAAAGTGAAATAGAAATGAAAAATATATTACGCAATGTATTACACAAACTACAAGTTACCCTGGAAGAAACAAAAGTAAAAGCAGAACAAGACATTTTGTTCAAAAATTAAAAAACAACTAAAGGAAAGTAAGAGATGATTTTTAGAATGCAATCCAGACTTAAATGCTTACTTGCTATGTGAGGTAGTACTAATGTTTACACAAACATTAGTAATACCTATCATATTACAAAAGTGGATATTAAATGAATTTCATAGTGGGCATTCAGGAATTTCAAGGATGAAATCTCTTATGAGAAGCTATGTCTATTGAATCAAAATGGATCAAGACATTGAAAAATTAATAAAAGCCTGCAGAGGTTGTGCTCTGGCAGCAAAATCACCTACCACAAAATTATAACTTTGACCAAAGACAGATACTCTGTGGTCAAGACTGCACATAGATTTTGTAAGTCCAATAAATAGATCACATTATCTTGTGGTAGTGGATAAGTTTACTAATTGGCCTGAAATTTTCAAGTGCAAAAACCAACTTCCACAGTTACAATGAAATTTTTTTTTTTTTTAAAAACACAAACTGTTTGCAAAACATGGTATTCCAGATGCTATAGTTTCGGATCTAATTCACTGGTTATGAATTTAAATAATTTTGTAAGATGTTCTTGATTGAACATATTACTACCCCACTGTATCACCCATGGTCAAAAAGACAAACTGAACAGTTTGTGGGTACTTTTAAGAGTTTTTAAAAAAGCAAGTAATGAAAATGTGAGCAAAGAAGTACTACAAAAATTCTTGAGTATACCAGATAACGTCAAAAACTAATACACCGACAGGGATGTCACCAGTAGAATTGATATTTGCAAGAAAAATTAAAATCAGTGTTCAACAAATTGTTACCAGATCAAAAAAATAAGAAAAAGACAAAATTGGCAAAAGAAGTGTTTTTTAGAGTATATAAAAATGGAAAAGAAATGTGGTAAAATGGTATAATAAGGTCATGAATTGGAAAAATTATATATATGGTGAAAGGAACGGAAGCCCACAAGAAAGGAAAAACCTATGCAAGTGCTGTATGATATTTTTGATGTACCAACACCAAGAATTGAAAGTACAAGTATGATTACCAGGAAAAAGGAAACATACAAAAAAAAAAAAAAATTAGAGGTTGACCCAAAACGAAAGAAATACAAAGTTTAGTACATGGTAAACTCTAGAAAAAAGGATGGATGTGAATCTAAGAAATAAAATAAAATATTCAATAGTTAAAAATAAAAAAAAATCTCGAAAGTGGGGACACTCCGGCAACACAAATGAACTAGGCAAGATGCCTTAAATAAAGAATTCAAAGTGAGTCAAGGGAAGTCCATTGGAGTCACTTGAGGAGAATTTCTAATGATGTCACAGTGAGTAGCCTAAGTGAGACATAATAGTACAACCACTAGTAGCAAATTATAACAGGTACTTGGTCTGAAGATTGCATTGAGACATGCAACTGACAGCCACCATGGAGAGTTGTTTCTATTGTAGAAGTAGACATGGTTAAATGAAATTGACAAAATGAAATGAGGAAAAAAAAAAAAAACAGGACAAAATGATACAAGAAAAGACAATGTAATACAAAGTAAAGCAATTATAAGACAATAAAGTAAAAAGTTCACAAAATAGTATTCACACACAAAAGGGATACAGTCAAGACAGTATATAGCCTTCTGACATCAAGTAAAGAAAGAAAGAAAAAAATGTGTAGGTAAGACTGAGAATTGTCTATTATTGGCTAGGAAGAAATCCCAGCAGGCATCTGTAGGATTTGTCTATAAATTTGGGGAGGGGGGATTTTTAACATTCATTCCAGAGATAGGAATTTGTTGATTCCATGTCTACATATGCTATATATGTGAACATGTGCACACATTCAGACAAACAAAAGAATATCCTTGATAATGGCTATAATAGGTTAGCCAAAAGTGCTTGGATCCACAGATCACTTGGACAATTCTTATATACTATGTCCCCAAAAAGAAATCACATGTACGAATGCAAGAAAAAAATATAGTAAGTTTAATTGCAGTGCCTTGTGTAGTTGTCTTCAATGAAACCTGTATAAAAGAGTGATTGCTGCTCAAATACACATATATAATTTATATATAGCACTTTAAATGTTCTTTTTAGTGGATACTTGCATTTGAGTAGGAGGTCCATTTATTTATTAAAGAGTATATTTATTTTCGTCTATCAGCTTGAATGTTCCAAAACTCTTAAAGAAAAATTTGCCGGAGACCACAAATTTTCTTTAATAAGATTTTTAAAACATTCAGCACAGTAGGCAAAAATAAATATATGAGTATCCACTAAAATTAACATTTAAAGTGATAAAAATCGGTTGGATTAATAAAAAACCCATTCTAATATATATTATAAATATATAATGCCTACTGTAAAGCCTAACCCTATGAACTCCATAACAATTTGACCAAAAATCCAATTCAACCTGGATCTAGGACCACAGAAGTAAAATGTCAAAGATTTGAACACAAGGAGAGAAAAAAAATTTATACCAATGACTGTTTTTTTTTTCCTTTTTCAAAAACAGAGATTACAAAAAGCTAAACATTAAAAGAAGTAAAAAGAGCAACTTTTTTAGACAAAATTTAATTACTAATACATTTGTACGGCTGAAAATAAAAGCAGAAAATGCCACATTTACATTGCTAATCCTTGTCACTTTTATTGATTAGCAATGATAATTTCTATCTTCAATTAAAAAAAAAAAAAAAAAAAAAATTACTCATGGATTAGTTAGTAGTAAGACAACATAAAACAGTCATGCTGATGCATTTTGATGGAAAGTAATTAAAATAAGTTTTATTGACATTTTATTCAATTTTATGGCAAGGAGTATAAACTATTTTTAATATATATAAACTGAACACTGACACTAATCTGTTGGGAATAAATATTTAAAAATGAGAACATATTAAATTGACTGATATGGATTTTGACAGTTAAAATGCTGTATCCAGAGTACTTCAATAAAATAATTCCCTGAGGTTTATCAATCTCTCTGGTTGTTTCACTAAATTAGATATAGATAAAGGTCATAATTTTTATGAATAGAAAAATATAGATGGAACTATAATTCAGAATAAAATCAAATCATGAATTCAACCACCATTTTTCAAAAATTAAAAACTTTTCTTTTTAACCGTAGTGGTTGAAGATTTTTATCAGCAAGGAATTATTTAATTCTTTCAAATAATCAATGTTTTACACAGGGTGCAGTATCAAATAATTATAAACAAGTGGACTTTTCTTTTTTATTTTAGTACTACACTTGTTTTAATTACTATAGGCATAAAAAAACACCAGGAAACACTAACTAATACTGTTTTGTTCAATCATGAAAAGGTCTATAACTAAGAAACTACATATAAATACAGTTAAATAAAACCAAAAATAGACAAGCATAAACATGAATACATTATGAGAACCAGTAATCTGAAGTGCTAGAGAAAAACAATAATTACAACAAATTGTAATATGAGCTTTGGTAAAAAAAAAAAAAAATGTTTACCGAGACATTACGTTTATAAGTCAGAAAAATTCATACACTGATTTCTTCAAGGACACATGGCCCAGTGGATAAAAGCATTGGTTGAAGTAATCCAGTGATTAGACCCAAAAAGTTGTGAGTTCAATGAACAATAACAAAGAGAGTTGAGTTAAAGGGAAATAACCGATACTGAGATATCCGGAAGA